CAATGGAACACCATGTTGGAAAAATAAGGTGTGTTAGAATATAAAGGATTCTAAGAATGCTGAGCTGTCTGAACAGAGATATTGGTACACATTAATTTTTGTTCTTTCCAAATCAAGTGACCYACAGCTTTATAATGTAAGCTGTCACTAATTAAATAGTGAGACAATACCAGACCTGTTAGCTTGACTTTAAATTCCTCCCCGTTGCCCCACCAACAGAGTGATCTGGTATATGGTTGGAGCAGACTGCACATGCTCTGTACCACACCGTAACTGCTCTGGCTGTTCACTACATTGCTRCTGCCTTAAGCAAGTGGCAAGACTTCATTGCAACGTTGGCAACAGAATGGCCACTGGGCATTTTCACTTTCCTGGGGCTGTGTGGTGCTGCACCACAGAACTCTTGTAGCAGGGCTGTGTTTTGCACCGTGCAGTTGCTTGAGCCCACAGAGTCTGTTGGGGACCATTGTGACAAACGGGTCTGCAGCYGTTACTGGGGAGGTTGGGAAGGGACACTTCAGAGATGATATCCAGTGTAGAAATGAGAGCAAATTGCTGCAGTGATTTTGGAGAAGAGCTGAGGACTGAATCTACCTCTGCATAAGGCAGAGTGTTTGTTGTTTCCCCCCAGTGTCAGAAGCTGGGACAAGCTTCTCCTTCCTGTAGGGTACCCTGGTGCTTCCCAGGAAGTACTATACTAACTAACAAGGAGATTACCTAGCCTGGAACTCAGTGTAAATAGGAAGCAGACAAAGATAAGATAAAGAAAAAATACTTCTGAAAGCCAATAGGTTTGGTGTTTTTTTTTTTTGTTTTTTTTTTTTTTTTTTTTTTTTTTTTTTTGCTAACCAAAGACATGAAGATACCTGCACGGTTACTGACAAAGAGGACTTGTACTTTGTTGTTGTTGCTAACCAAAGACATGAAGATACCTGCACGGTTACTGACAAAGAGGACTTGTACTCCAAGACAGTCTTTCTTGTTCCCTCTCTTTGTTTTTCGTTTTTACCATCTCTTGTACATATCCTTCAACAGCACTCTTCTGATGCTGTATGWTCATGCAATAGAAATCCGCTGTTACTAATTCTTGGAAAGGAGACCCCAGGTCAAGTCTCCCACTTTTTCTCATCTGTTGTTCAGACAAGAAGTCTTTTTAAACTGTCTGGTTGTGACCAAGTAAGAGATTTGACAAATTCATTCTAGATGTATTTGTGTATTTGTTTCATCTGCTTATGAACAGTGCCTTCTTATTTTGTACCACAATTTGCACATGGCCWGTGGTGAATGGGAGAACTGAAGCTAAAAAAATATAGCTGCCTTTTGGCATAAAGATTGATTTTAAAGAAGCTTTTTTATTTCTCCTTGCTTATGCAACTGTACTTTTCTAGTCCACTAGAGTGTAGGAAAGTAATCAAAGTAAAGTTAATCACTTTTTCTGATAGCACAGAGACTTCAGGGAGAAACACTCCATCTTCCATAYGCACATTGACCTTCACCCTTGTGCAATAAGTTGGTACAAAGCCTGAGCAACATCTAACTCAATTTGAGCTAAAGAATTTGTGTCAACCTGAACAATTCTCACTGTTGTGGATCACTACTCATGCGTGTAGAACATCACGATCTTCTTAAACTTTTATCTTGAACATACTACATCCATATTGTTCTGTTGTAAGCAGACAAACTTTTGGGTTTTGGGTAAGAGAAATGGTAAAATTAATATGCTGTGTTTGAAGTCAGACTAGATGATCTAATGACTCTGCCAGGCTTTAAATTTTATCAGCCTGTTGAAATAATTTTGCTTGAAATCAATGGGACTGCTCATATACTTAAATTTAAGCACCTGCATAAATATTTTCATGAGTCAAGATGTTATTCAGCACATAGTTATGAGTTGAATGTTTTAGACATTATAAAAGAAATTACTTTTTAACACTAACATTTCTGTTGTGTTGAACAGCTGTTYCTCTTTGTAGTACTATTTTGATACTGTCCGATATCGAACGCTGACTTCTTAATGTGTTTTAACTGGGTTTTTTTTTTGGGTTCCCTCTTCCCCGGTTCTGTTTTTTGAGTGAGACTATGGTAGACTGCACATGTGTTCTCAAAAAATCTTCCTTTCTGCTCCAAACACTTGTAATTATCTGCTCTTTTTTTTCCTATAATGTGAGTGTGCCTGACTGTGACTTGGAGCACAAAGCTTCCTTGTAAGAGWGTCTGGTATAGTGGAATAAGGGCTTAGGGAGAAATTAAGATACTTACACTGGAGCAATTGCATGAGGAATAATAAATCTTACTAAACCTGAGCTAGCTTTGGAGGAAAGCATGGCATGACTTGTCACCCAAAGTGCATTATTTTTTAAGTCATGTGATTTTTCTTCAAGTCAGGCAGCTTTCCTGGAACCAGAAATCCACACTGCCCACAGAGTAGGGACAGCTGACTGAAGTATTTATTTGACAACCTTAAACCTCTTTAATTACCTGACATAATAATGTCAGGGTAGGAAGCATGTGAACCTCAACTTCCTTCTGGTATATCAAATTCTCATATTTAATTTTAAACTTGGAACTTTAATAGTTGCAGCCCTGTTAGTACTTGTGAACACTTAAAAATGTTTGTGTAAAAAGAATCTCCTGCAGAGTAGTTAGACACTAGCAGGAAATAAGATTTTACAAGGTGCAGGGGTGTAAATTTCTTTCTAAGGCCTTCTGAAATCACAGAATCACAGAATAAACTAGGTTGGAAAAGACCTTTGAGATCATCGAGTCCAACCTGTGACCTATCATTACCTTATCAGCTAAACCATGGCACTGAGTACCTCATCGAGTCTTTTTTAACACCTCCAGGGACAGTGATGCAACCAYCTCCCTGGGCAGTCCATTCCAACGCCAAATCACTGTTTCTGTGAAGGATTTTTYCCTAATGATTGTATCTTCAGGACAAAATGCTCCATTTGCAAACTTTGAACTCATGAATATGTGAACTCTTGCAGTTTAGAAACAAAGCTTTGTTTGTGTGTGTTTTTATCAAGAGTATTAATTAGGCAATTCTAAGCACCATTTATAGTGTCTTTTCCAAAGGCAAATGTGAAAGTGCATCAGTACCTTTTTTTATGACCTTTTCCTGTATAATTACAATGTAACTGGCTGATTTGTAAATGATATTCTTATAGCTTAGGAAAGGTTTCTGTTTTTTTACATTCATGCAGTGGTATGAAGTTTTAAAATAATGTGGAGGGTGCTGCTGACCTGAATAAATCTGAATCTTACAGTCAGTAGTGTTGTATTGCAGTCACTGTGCTACYGAAATCTCATGGAAATTATTGTATTTATTCAACACCAGAAATTACAATGCTTCTTAAATTTTTTAATTAAAACATAATTATTTTCTCTTTCTGCTTAGTTTTTGTGCAGGGAAATCAGTTTCTGAAATTGAAAGCAATGTTACCTGYATGAGAGCATGCTATGCTTGTCACTCAAATTGCAGTCTAAAGAGCTTTCTCTTGCAAATATCTGTACAAGCTCCTAGTTTTACTGCCATTTTAGTCTTCACAAGACCAGGCTCATAACCTCCTGGAACTGAGAATTACTGTAAATGTTGAGCACTTTGAAACCAGACAAAGAAAGGCCTGATCCTTTCCACGAGCAYTGGCTAACATCTGCTTCATTGGAATTGCTGCTTGGCACCCCCTGGATCAGATTTTCAGCCGACTGCTGCTGTTTACAATTGTCCTATCGTGGCTTTTCACCTACATGGATGACATCCTGCCTTGCTATCTTCACAATAGCAGACTCTAAACATAATAGAATCCTCCGGGGGTACAGTAGAATAACARCACATCACACTTCCTTTTTACTCACCAGCTACTTTTTGCCACAAACCGCTAATCCTAGACAACATCTGTATAACAAATGAATCATCTGACTATCATATGCTTAGAGGTAATGTGCTAGCACAGATGAGACTAATACAAAAGTTATTCTCATAGATCTTTCAAAGAAGATAAAATGATGAAAAACCTGAATCTATTATTCTACAGCTTCTATTCTGCTGCCTGCAAGTCACAACAGCATTTTCTTTGTTAGAAGTGCAAAAGACATGTTGGGAAACAAAGAAATCCAGCACAATCTTAAAAAAAACTTATTTTTTCCATCTTAAAAGTCTGTCTTTTTGGTGGCAACTTTTGGTGGCAACGGAATTAATATAGTCTGTACACTGATGTATCTTAAAATGGAGCTTTTTACACATTCAATCATGATAGTATAATATTGTGTATAGCASCAGGAAATAAGCAGATTAGAAATTTCCACTCATATTCTACTGTCAGTTTAAATTAGACTCAGAATGGCAGCACATAGTATGGCAATGCAAGCAACAATGAATAATATATCTTGATTTGATAGCTACATGTAGTATATTTTTGTGTACACACATGCACACACACAGAAATTAGCTGTCAATGAATGCTAAAACTCTAGATGCTTTAATTCAGGCTATGTTCCTACCTTCAAATGTACATCATAAAACTAAATTACCACAAAACTTGCATTATATACATTTTGATATGGTTATATATTCCATATTAACACATCTTGTATAAATATGTATTTCATATACTTCTCCCTCCCTCTGTCTCTAAATCTATATTTTTAACCTAATGCAGAGTCAACATCATATTTTCCTTTGGGTCACACATTTACCATAACATTTCTCTGGCACTTAATCACAGTTTGTAAGATGAACATGAYACAAGTCAGGAAAAGAGCAAAGTTATGTTACAGATTTATTGGCAAAAGCTTCTTTTGCTAAAGAAAAGTTCTGAGTAATCCATAAGTAAATTCAGATTTCTTTATCTAAAAGTCAGACATCCTGCCAAACCYTTATCTAAAAGTCAGATGCCATTCCTTCTCCAAAGCTCATTATTTTTTCGTTTACCAGGTTGGCCACACCTGAAAAGACGAGGAGCATGCAGCAAGCAGAAATGCCAGGAGGAGGCACTTACCTTAATTTGTTAGGTACCTAACTTTCATCACGCTCCTTTTTTGAAAGAGTTCCTCTCAGGGTATTGAGATGCTGAAGTTATTTTCTCCCAGCAAATTTGCTCCCACTCAGCAGCCGTGGCAGAGCTCTGGAGAGAGAAGCAGGATTGTGCTCTGTTCACTCCCCGCAGCTTCACTGAGGCTGGGGCTCCTTTGAGCTCAATTAGTTCTAGATTGTTTGGCTAAATGGCAGCCACACTTCCTTCTATTCTTTCCCAACTTAGTTTTCCTGCCTCCAGTGGTGCTTTTTCCTTTCTTTGGACTATAAATAGGCCTGTCACAACACAGTCTATAGCAGTAAGGAAGGCAGAAAATGCATTGAAACAAAGGAAAGATCTTAGGGGGTTTTGCCTTCCCGTGCCAATAAAAGTTACAGAATTGGGTAGAGATTGCTCTGCAGACACAGTTCTCTTGGCATGAGGAAAACACTTGCTCAAAAACATGCTATGATGTCATCTTTTGTACCCCACAAAAACATGAGGACACGCAGTAGCAATAGGCCTTAGTCTCATGAGCAATTTTTATTTCCTTTAAGTATTTAATTTTGATTAAATATTCTAATCTCTTTGGGATTGGGGAGTTGGAATAAGGAATATTTTTGGCTTAGAAAAGAGGACAAAAGTGGCTAGCATGTCCTAAGAAGACAAAATATGTCTTACAGGGGGTGCAAATGTTAGGAATGATGTTTAAAGCCTATGAATCTTCATTTTGTCTGAGTACTTTCTTCCTCTGTGGAACTTATCCTGCAGACTTGAAGTGTTTAGGCAAACTAAGTGTTTTTTTTTTATCAGAACTTCGAATTTAATTATTTTCAGCTTAGTACTTTCAAAAATACACATCAAGCTTCCAACACTCTCTCAAGCTTGAAAAAAAAGAATTAATAATTTTCAAATTATACTCAGTGTAARATGAGAATATAGTATGGTATTTATTTGTCTCTATCTTTTTGTGCTATCCTGACATTTTCTGTTATTAATGGTACATGCCTTTCCTTCACTTTATACAAATTAAGTAAAGTGCTGTGAAAAATTAAGTGAACTGCTATAAAAAACCCTTACTGCTGCTTTTTACAGTGRTAGTTTCATGATAAAATAAGGGTGGGTTTACTGAAGACTCTAATACATGGTTTGGGATTGGTGATTGTTTTAGTGGGAAGGTAGAGACTTGAAAGACAGTTGTTGCTATGTGGATGAAAAAGTTCTTTTCTTGTAAGATTTATATCTGAAATATACATGAGAGGTTACACTTAAAGTAGTGAGAGTTAAGGACCTGTGACCCTTAAGGAATTTGGAGAACGTTAAATCTTTTGTTTCAGGTATTATGCAGGCAACGATCATTATTATTAGCCAGTATAATGTTTTATACATGAATTAGAAAATCAGTGTTAACCTTAGGTAGACTACATGATGCCAGAGCAGGTTATATAACAATCGTCTTCAGGAAAGTGCCTGCCTTTTTGAGAACTTTGCAAAGATCCTGTCTGCCATGACAAGAAGGTGACTGTACATGGAAACAATGGTGAGACATTCAAGTGGTGTGTGAATAAACTCTGTTGTTCATTTTTTGAGAATAATTAGAAAAAGGTTTTCCTTGAAAGTGCTTTTTAAAATAAAGTTAAACCAAAATGGAGTGCTCCAAGCAAAGCTCCCTTCAAATCAAGAAATTAATTTATAGAAGGACCTGAAAGTTATATTTATGGTATTTTTTTTCTAGTGTCAATAATGATATTTAAGAGACATGTATAAAGCCTATATAGGAAAATGTTGATCTTTGCAGATTATGTACTACAAATCTGACAAAGAGGAAGGTGATTCTTTGTAGTGAACAGTGGAACAAATACTGGCTACAGCTGAAACATGGAACCAGGTTTTGCTTAAAAGATTCTGTCATGGGAGTTGACTGAAGGCAAGCTGCAGTCTTTCTGGCTCTTTTGGACCTCAGACCAAGGCTGAAGGACTGGCAGTGTGTAAAAGTYGATTGAACATCTGTGGAATAGACCTTATTAACTCTGTTTCTGCAAAGTTGATCTCCACAGTATAACAGCACTGAAATGCAAAGCTGCTTAGCAGTAATACATTTTCACATACCTTTATTCAAATGTAGTTTGAAATCTTAAATCCTCTCAATGAGTTACTAGTGGTTACAGACTTGAATTTGCATCACACATTCTCTGTGTGCTGTTAGCACCAAGCACTGCCAGAGCCCTGGAGAGGCTTAGTCTGGAGCAGCTGCTTGCCTTGTGTCAGCACTGTGCCAGTAGAGCTGAATTGCACAAGCCTGCTTGCACTCATTTTGCTCGTAGCCTTTTTTTTCAAAATCACATACCTATTTTCTCAGCGTCATTCAAAACATCTCTAAACACTAAAAATAGAATGCAGGGTYAAAGCAGAATTATTCTCCTCAGTCATTCTGACTTTGTACACTGGAAGAAATTCTCACCTGGTGAGAATTTGCACAGTGTGCAAGCTTTCTCACTCCCACTTTATCATTTCAGYCTTGAGGGGAGTCTGTCTTGAGAGAGATCTTCACAGTTTTCACTGCAGATYTTCCCCTGGGGATCAATCAGGTAGCTGGTGGAGCCACAAGAGAGCTCAGAGCAGGGTGAGAAATTGTTGCTGAGGGCAGATGCAGTGAATTTTTCCCATGTCAAAGCAGAAGAGATGTATTTTCTCTGACAGTCTCATTTTCACTCAACCTTTTGCATTTGTCTCCAGGACAAACAATGACTGCATGAGCAGCTACAGGGTAACACTGCAGCGCTCACAACTTGGGGGATGTTGTTGGTCACCTGGAATTCAAAGCATCATCTTCACAGCTCATTTACACTCTCTGCCCTGAAAATAGATTCATGTGGGCATATGTTACAGACACAAAAAAAACTCTTTTCAGTGAGTTCCTGTGTGCAGAGGCAGCTTCAAGTAAAGATAATCATGAATTCCTCACCACAGAAAACCTAAAACTGAGCTATCACATGGCAGCACTGCTTTTTGCTGGACRCCTTGAGGGGTTTAACACAAATACTATTGATTTCCACCACTGAGCCACAAAACATGAAYTTAGATGTTTTGATATGCTTCTCCCTCTAGTGCTCATTACTGCATTAGTTCTAGCTCAGCATCTGGCTTTTCACAATTAGAATGGTAAAAATGGTATCCAAATTCCCATGAAATTTTAATATGGAAGTTTTTCAGACCAGCTTCCAAARTAAAAAGCTAAACTACCTGAACCTTCTCCTCTGCTTTCATGGTGCCCCTCCCTTGGATGGTTGAGCAGCATTGTGTAATGCCACTCTTTCCACTGACATCAGTGGGAATGGGTTTGACAYGAAGTCAGCATGAGCAGGGCAGCACACTTTAGTGCCTGTAATTCATTAAGTAGATTGAATTCCTTACTGTGTTACTCCTGTACCTCTTACCTCCTCAGTTGTCTCCTTCTTGCCTTCACATTTCATTGCTTCATGGAATATGTTGCAAGAAATTACACAACTTTTCCTGGTAAAACTATACCGAGGGAGAAACAAAGAACTGGTTTTTTATCTTTTCTAGCTCTTGTTTAGTCTACCTGACTTAACACCATAGAAATCACTTGTCTCAATAATACTGAGTAAATTATAAGGACTTTTCTTTTGATTTCTGATCCTGTTAAACACAGATGGTCTTTCTGGACTGCAGTGCAGGCTGTGGGCCAGATCCTTGGCTTCTACAAATTGGGGYTGCTTCATCAGCTTCAGTAGAGTGACACCGATTTGAGCTGTCTGAGGAATCCTGCCAGTTGGTTTTAATGTGTGCCAGTTTATAGCAGCTGAGGAGAWGTGAGTTTCAGGGCCTTATAGCCTATGTGCCCTGTATAGAAGATTTTTATTGGTTTTCTTCTCTCTGCCACTCAAACAAGTCATCAAATCACAGACACATCCTAACAGATCTGCTGCTTACAGCCATGGGGCAATCTAAGGAGTGTTCATGGTGATCTTAAAAAAAAGAAGGGAAAACAGCAGGTCAGACTCAGGCTGTGGCTCGACATACAGTAGAAGACTGATTGTCTGCCCAGTGTGTCTGTGGCCTCATGAGTGTAGTATAGTTAAGGTCTGGAATCCCTTATGGCATAACCTGTGTCTCTGTGCTTTTGATTGGTTGTATGGTTGTGGAGGACACCACAAATAGAAGTCTAATTTGTTCTTCATTTGTTTGCTTACCAAAATTGAAAGCATATATTTTTTATTCTGTACCTTAAAGAACATGCCTTAAATCTGATGGTAGTGTAATAGCAAAGATTAAAGTTAACACTTAATTTACAAATTATTAAAGTTCTTGAAGCCCAAACCTTCTTTGGTTTCGCCTTTCATTTCTCTACAAAAAAACCCCAGGAGTTTAAATCTTTTAGTGTGGTGACAGCAGGAAATATGATCTCCATGGCATTGATGAGAAAATAGAATAATTTGCCAAAGGTGTCACTGGAAGTAATAATTTCATTTGGAAAGCTCATGCTGTTTGTTCTTTCTGCTTTTAATATTCCTTCCTTCCTTCCTTCCTTCCTTCCTTCCTTCCTTCCTTCCTTCCTTCCTTCCTT